GAAAAAGGTGCCATTTAAATAGCGAGTTCAAAATTTCGGTCTATGATATCGGAAGACTAGCGATTCCAACCACTGCAGGACCATTTCGTGTATGGCGTTTTTCTACCTGCAAACAGATTGTTCCGTCGGGCTTGAGGTATATCTTAAGACAGGTTTTGGAAACTTGGAGGATCTTGACGTGTCCAAGGCGAACTTCCGTTTCATCGTCTTTGCTTTGCAACACTAGTTAAACGGTCTCGGCCATCAGGTCCTGGAGAGCAGGGCTGAACGGGAACGCGACCACAAAAGACCCCACCTCCTTTTTTGAAAGGAGACTTAATTTTTCGAGTTTCTCCCGAAAATTCGTTAACCGTGGTGTTTGAATAAGCAGTCCGAATTTTCAGATACAAATATGGCCCCACTAAAAAATTCAAAAGGTGAGATGCTTTTGAGGGCTACAAAAGACCAGAAAGGAGCCCATCGTTGTGAACTTTGTAATGGCTCAAGTCGTTCCTTAGGCTCTCGTTATGACTGAAGCCGTTGATGGTATTGCACTTAAGTCCTCTATCGTCAAAACGTCGCAGTGATTCCGCGTGCCAGGGGTTCTGTGGGGTTTGATTCGCATAGAGAGTACACAGAATTGGTAGTTCTTTAGTAAGCTTTTGGCCTTATGAATATAGCCTGTCTTTTCCAATTGATTGAAATTTACTTCCCCTACTGGCTAAATGCAAACTAACCAGATAATAGGTCCGTTTTTTCGAAGATTGCATTCTTGCTTATTTTTAATTATTGCGGTCACTTTTTTGCCAAATGACGGCATATGATAAGACTTTCGGCAGAAATGTATCTATTTTCTGTGTCTTCCTGCTCGCCGTCCTGTGTGTTGTCCCACCTGTGAAACCCCCTCCATCGCCACTCATCATATGACACGGTCCACAGGCTGGCTCAAATTAGCTGTGGGTCCTACACCCTACAGTGGCCGAAAACAGTAAGTCAGGCACTTTTTAGTGCAGAACAACTGTGTCGATTACTAACGACTGTATAAATGAAAAGGAGGGGCAGATTTATAGTTTGAAAAAAACATGCGACTCTTTCTGGAACGTTTCTGGGTATCACTAATAAGAAGTATATGTTAAAATTTTTTCGGAATGCGCCAGAGAACCGACTGATATGTTTTTACACACTTATTCTTTCTGTTTCATAACTAAGGCCATGGCTACTTTATAGGGGACTCGTGAATGTGTTAGAGCTAAGTTTCCGTCTTCTTTTTTTGCGATTTTTTGTCTAGTGTCTGCAGAACTAAGCACCTTCGCATGGCGTTCCATTAAGGATGGAATGTCTTTAAGACAGCCAAGTAAATTCGTTTGGTTTTTAGTCAAAAGTCCGGCGCTGAAAAGTACCCTTGACGCGATCGACCCTTTTCGCCTAACGGCAGTCGGAGACCCAGTTGACTATATAAACTTCATCTGGTGGTTTTGGAAGTTTCCTTGTTGACTTGCAGCTTTCGGACATTTTTTGGACTTTTGTAGACCTTTGAAGGTTCCTGCATACAATAGACAGAGATGCATTTTTCCGCGTGTGATTAAAAATCACGCCCCACAGTTTTTTGTAGGTGCAAGTGTGAATGCTAAAACTCTACTAATATGAAAGCATTTTCTGCCTGCGACTTTCGTAAAAACTTGGCAATCGTTGTATAAGCAGTGAGGCGCGCGATCAGGTTTCCTTTGCCTCAATCTATTGCGTAGCTTCAGTCCTCTAAATAACATAAACATGCATACAGACCAGCAGCTAGCCAGTGTTAAACATTCAACGTACCTGTTCTAGGAGAGACGTCTTCTAGCTAGTCTCGCAATTAATTCAGTACCCCTATGGCAAGAGGACTTTCATTCTCTGAATTGCACAGCCGCTCCTGTAGTCGCCTGAGCTTAGTCATAATGCATTTTGTCCATTATCTTGACGAAATTCGTCGTGTCCACTTGCCCGATCTTATAGAGGTCTCTGCAGTACCCTTATATGACGCTTTAAATGGCTTCGAGGAGGGCTCTCTACAGGGCGGATCTGGTACAGTTGCGGACAAAGCAGCTACTTCGAAGAAACTGCGAGATTACTCCGGACGCTAACTACCGAGCACGCGGCAGCGGTGAGGTAGGGAGACGCTAGCTATCAGATGGCGGCTCATTCTACGGGACCCGGCCATATTTTCGAGTTTCAAGAGGCGAACTCCTCGCAAGGGATGACAACCGTGTAAGTCGCGACCTGCTCGAGTCATTGTTCGCAGGTCCGCAATCCGTCAACAAACGCAATGACCTCATGCTACCGTATTCTGTGCTGAGATTTTTCCTGGCAGGGGAATCAGTCACGTGCGGAGGGCGCGGGCGAGCAGTAATCCCAGTGATAGTGAGCCAACTGACTAACAGTCGTCACACTAGCATGCAAATCGGATGACGAAATTACGGCCATTAGCGACTCGGACCTCGGACTGACAGGCCATCATCGCATCAATTACGACCCCAGCGGTGATTGCGATGGCTGGTAATTACAGTACGCATATGGTTCCACGGCGGCCACGTGCTATAAATACTGCACTTCTTGTGCCACCACTACCCTTGTCTGCGACCGTCTCTGATGACGGGTCCAAGGAAGAATCCAAAACGTCAGGCCGATAAATTTCTTGTTCCAGTGATCGCAGGGCTATCTATGTTCCTCTATAAGGTCCACACATTTCGAATATCTTCCGCAACGGGCTAATGCACCCAGACCCTGGTGTCAGCTGCTAGCTGCTACAAGTTTAATTCACTTATTAGAAGCTCATGTGTGCCAAAATTGGGGGTCCGCTTGAAGCGTGTAAAAAAATCACCGAAGAAAGATCACGGTGGTGCGCTTATTCTTCTCAATTTTTGTTTCCTAAAAGAACAGTCTTCCTGGAATCTCTTTTGGTCAATCAGAAGTTTTGTTTCATTATAACGGTCGGAGATGCGCAGACACGTAGCAGTCTTCTCGAAGAGTAGGCCTCCGTCATAAAGTTGCTGGTGGAGTTTGAATGCACAATTTTCTTTCTTTTTAATGTGCTCTTAATGAGGTTCAGTTACCTGAGCTCAAGCGGACAACTCTCAGACGCATCACTTACTGAGAATGCTACCCTTATTCCTATAAAAACTCTTACACTAGTGGTGTCATTGCATTTAATCCAAGAGTTTAACAACAACCCACGGACTTAAAACGACATGCTTGTCAATTTTTCTGAAGATCCTATTTGTGGGCTTTCAGCAGAAACTGTGCGTGAAGTCTTTCGTGTAACAAAGTAGCTAATGAGACAGGGAACAGGCACAACACGGAAGAATTATGGCCGCCAATTATCCTCGCGGTCATGGAGGGTGAGGGCGACACAGGTCACTGTTAAATGCTGGTCGAATGCAGCCACCCAGGCGGCATTGGCGGCCTACGCATTAAACAAAGTTCCCCATATTTGCAAGTTTTGTACGCATGAATTTCTAGTCTCTGAAGATGGGTAGGCGAAATAACTATTCGAAACAACAGACCTCCAATAAACAGAGTCCAATAAACAGACCTCTAATAAAGCAGAAAATATTTTACTGACCGAATTTCAAGGTAGCATTATTACCCGAATTCACGCCATGGTCTCAAGGACAATGCAAAAATGCTACGTTTCCAAAAGTGTGCAAATAGCAAAGGAAGAGGATTGTACTGGTGTGCTGTGGTTAACTAAAGGCAACATATTTGACCAGTTCGACTTAAAAAGGCGACTTATGATGCAAAAAGGATGGACAATCGTAGCTAAAATATTTCTTTGCTTTATGTGCCAAATACAATAGACCTGGAGTCCTTTACACACAGCTGTCTCTGCGAAAAAGTTAAGTGTGCAACAAAATTTCCTCGGAAAATGTTCGGCGCAGTTGGAAATATTTTAATTTTCGGAGTCGGCGAGCTCCAGCAATTTCGAGGGTGAGCGCCTCTCTCATCTCATTTGTTAGATACTTCGATAAGAAGCATTAAGAGGAGCTTGTCGCTGTTTTTTCTGATAAAATTTGCAACCAGAAGGTTTAATCGAAAAGCTGCTTATGAGAACTTTTTCTGGTTTTGTCAGAAATCGCAAAATATCAGGTTTTTCTTTGCTATGAAGTGACATTTTCCTCCCTTAAAATTTGCTATATCCGTCCGTCTGAAATGCCACTTTGTTAATGCGCTTATTCCCAAGCCTGTATTAATATTATCTCTGAATCTATTTTCCCCTAATTCAGATAAAAAAATCTACTTGTCTTATAAGAAGAAAATTGATTGAGATAATTAGTGTTGACCTTAATTTAATACAGTTGAGATGCGTGTGGCACTACCTGAAAATTTGTATCACCATAAGTTCGTCTTAGTTGAGCCCATAACCGTAGATCCAAGTCAACTTCAATAATATCAGGCAAAGTTTATCTTATTAAAATCTGACTAGAGCAATTAAACTGCCAAAGTAAACTGTCATCTAGTTTTCCCAGAATTTACATATCCTGCGCAGGCACGTCTCGGGAGGATATTTGGCTGTCAATTAGACCATCTTGCAAGATTATCTGCATATTATCTTAGAAGCTAAAAGCCCTCCGAATCCACTCAGGAGAAAATTAATTGTATTTCTAGACGAGGTATTTAGCAATATAAGTTTCAGTGAGCGAGTTCTTCCAAAATCCCCGAATGATTTTCCATATTTTTGAACCCGCATATTTCACTGAACCCGTATATTTCACTGAGACCACATGCGCCAACTTGGGTAGTGTCTAACTGATATTTTGATCAAAACCACTTGTAACGGTTCCTAATGTTGAAGTCTCTGAACTTCGCCAATCTTGTTCGAGATTACTTCAATCAAGTTCTGCACAATAACTGCGCGTTGTCCATTCTACATACAAAAGATGCTACAAGCGGCGTAGTGTTATAAAATAACAATCGGTAAATGTGGTAAGCCCCTGCTGGACGCAAATACAAGGACTTCGGCTCATCGGCGGCCTTCAAACTCTTTCATGTACCCTCTACTGCAAGCTGAAAAGCAGTACGCAAAGCAGGCACGTCGTCTGAACCACTTCCACCTCAGTTGTCTTCGTCGCATCCTGAGGCTGAAGTGGCAGGATCGAATCCCCGACACTGATATGCTTGAACAGACGGGAATCCTCAACATCTACGCCATACTGAGGCAAATTCACCTGCGCTGGAGCGGCCACCTGGTGCGCATGGCCGACGAGCGACTACCCAAACGACTCTTCTACGGAGACGTCGCGATGGGTTCTCGCCGCCAAGGAGGCCAGATTCGCCGTTACAAGGATATCCTGAAGTCCTCCCTGAAATGCCTGCAAATCAACCCCACCAACTGGGAGGAGCTCGCACTCGATCGACCGACCTGGAGGAGGACAGTGAAGACAGGCGCTGCGATCTACGAAGCCAACCGCATCGCTGCCGCCAAAGCGAAACGTGAAGCCCGCAAATCACAACTTCGCTCAGTCAGCAACGCCGCCGCCCAACCGCTTCCAACGTGTCCTCGATGTCAGCGGACATTCCGGGCTCGAATCGGACTTTTTGGACATCTTTGGATTAACTGCGTCTCTCGAACAGCACCAACCATCGTCCCCCCGCCTACCTCTTCCTCCTCCTCTCCGCCGCCAACTAACCCTGACAATTCTTCGGACCCACCACTTCCATCATCCTCCTCCCCCTCCTCCTCCTCCTCCTCCTCCTCCTCCTCCTCATCCTCCTCCTCGCTCACTGCTCCAACGGCGGCCGCTCAGACGACTGTCCCGCGCACAGCAACCGACACTACCACCACCTCCCCCGACTCCAGGGATGAGGATCAGGACTACACCTGCCCTCACTGCGACCGTACCTTCACCTCACACATCGGCCTGGTCGGTCACTTGAGAATCCATCGCACAGAGACTGGCGAACCAGTGCGTGAAGCACCAACCTACACCCACCGCACTCGCCTCCACTGCCCACACTGCCCTCGCACTTTCAGACATCGAATGGGCCTTTTCGGCCACATGCGCATCCACGAGAGCGGCCTTGACCGCACTCCCGACACACCCACCACATCCAACATATCCACCGTGCACACCCCCACCCTCGTTCCATCCGTCCGCGCCACCACCATCATCACCGCCTCCTCTGTAGCTGACACTGACAACGCCGACTTCTCATGCCCACACTGTCCACGCACATTCACCTCACGCATCGGCCTGGTCGGTCACTTGCGAATCCATCGCACAAAGACTGGCGAGCCAGTGCCTGAAGCACCCACCTATACCCACCAAGCTCGTCCCAACTGCCCACACTGCCCTCGCACTTTCAGGCATCGCATGGGCCTATTCGGCCACATGCGCATCCACGACGACCTGCGGCAGACAACCGCCGGCCACACCACACATTCACTCACGCCCTACCTCCTCCACCATCAGCCCACCAGAACTCAACACTCACAGACCTCATGCACCCAACTACCACCTCCCACACAAGTGGGAAGTCCGCATCTCGACTCGATCCCCATGCGGTTTCGGCTGCACGGGTGACTTGAGTCCGAGACTATCCCGACACGTCAAGCGTCGTGGATAGGAAGGTTGCTGATTGACGCCCGTTCTCGGTTTACGCAGTTCGTCGCGTTGTGTGTGTGTGTGTGTGTGTTGTGTGGAGTGGCGGACTGGTGGGCTGGTGGGCTGGGAACGGGCTGAAACAGCAACTTCCACGGCACTCTCACGCAATTGAGAGACACGCCGTTCAACCCCCGTTGTGTGAAATCCTGGTGTTGTGTTTATGGGGGGCCAGGCCGTGCCGTGGCGCTCGCAGTCATGGTCATTCGACCCTGACAGCCACCGCGTCCATTCCCCACTCCAGTCTGCTGACCGGTTCGGACAGCGGCTGCGGTGTGGGAGTGGGAAGGGCGAGTGAGGTCGACGACTCAGCGCACTTCCTCCTCACTATAAACAATCTGACGCGCTTGAAGCTATCACGGTGCGCTAAAAGCCGTGGCTTGGAAGGTTGCCAACTGACGGGGTAACTTGGACCTCCTCCTTGACCGGAGGCGGTCTGAGAGTCAGGCTGCAATGGCTCCTTTTTAATGTGGCCTTTATGGCACTCCCATCACAGTGTGGGATCCGAGCCAGGCGTTGTCTGCACGCCCAGGTGCGGGTTCGGCCGTGCCAGCCTCCAAATCTCTGTTGTGTTGGTTGAAATCCTGGTCATTTGTTGTGTTGACCAGGCGGTGTGGTGGAACGCCAAGGTGAGGATCCGTCCGAGCCATCCAACTGCGGCCTCTCTCGTCTCCGGTCTTCTTGACTCTGTCTTGACACCGGGCTTGGGCGAGGGAGGAGGAGAGAGTGTAGGTAGATGCTACGCAAGTCTACTGGCACTATAAACCCCTGCGTAAGTCACCGTCCCTGCTCCCATTGCTGCTGCAACAGTGGGGCACGCGGTGGACATCATCGAAACCGATGGTCGAACTGTCACTGCAAGCTGCAGTTTTTCATGTTGAGATATTTTATTAACCTGGAGAATAATTTGTGAGATTGGAGTGCATTATTTGACACGAACCTTTTCGGGTTTGGTTTCTATTGGAGAATTTGCGTGATGTAATACATTATTTCTAAAGCGGTTTAAAAATCTAAACAAGAGCACTTATTTAAACTTTAATTGGGCCGTTCTGCATTGATTGAGGCATTCGTAATTGCCTATGAAAAACCGCAAAGAACTCAAGACTTGATTAGTCTGAAGGGGTACATATATAAATGATAAGTTATCTCCGTGATCGAAATCGACAAATCTGGTACGTTCCTTGTTGAGAAAATGACAGGCCTATCCGATAAACATCATCACTTTTAAAATGTTTGCCTTTGTCACATCAAAACTTCGTGCGCATGCAGCAAGGGATTGGTCTCAGGGAATGCTAATTGAAATTCGTAAATATGTTTTCAAACTAAAAAGGGGTGCTTCGAAAAGGATGTGATACTGGTTATACTGCAAAACAATCGCAATATATATTAGTCACGCTAGGAAGTCGACCTTTACATACGCGTCTTATTGGTGGCCTGAAAAACTTGCACTTGATACAGAGGGCTTACTAAGATACCATACACTTTCCAAATGATTTGCAATATATCGATAAATTCAACTATATTTCGTAGAAAGCATACACAGAAGTACGTCTCCTTATATGCATCCGGTATAACTTTGTGTATTCTTCAAAGTTTATGCTCGTCGAAAGGGTTTTATTCAGCTTTACAAATGCGTTTCAGCTTACAGATGCTTTGAAACAGAGCTGCTGTTGCACCGGCATTACGGATTTCAAGACCGAAAGCTGTATAAATTCCATGTAAGGGAAATCATATATTCCTCTATGTCAATAAGAATACATTAGGTCAATAGTAGTGAAAATGCGATTCCGGATGACATATCAAAAGAAGAGGAAGCCTCCACCGAGCATTCATAGGACCGAGCCGAATGCAAAAAAGGAAGCGGAATAAAGAGCATAGTCGGTCAAAATCGTGACGAAGCATTCAGTACATGAAAGAGGTCTCCGAAGCCGAGGCTAGATCCCTCGCACCACCCGGAATAGGAGTTGTCCACAGACTCAACTCACCAGTCCACCCGCAAGTGATGCGGTCAAAATTAGACGTCGATCGTTGTTCCCCGACTTCAGTGCAACTGCAGGATGTGCAACTGCGCTGGGTAAACCGGCCGACGACTGCGAAAACGAATGCATTAGCATAAGTTGACCGTGCGAAGGTTGGACCCTAAGTCGGAGGCAGCAACCGAAGCCGCGCAGATGGGACAAATCTTCAACTTTGAAGCCGTTGAGATTGTAGGCCAAGGCGATGCTCATACGGCAAAGCAGGTGTAAGACTCCTGGATGTCCACCGGCTACTCTGTCAACCGCTGCATCAATCTGCCTCTCCTCTATCTGGTTTTACAAAAGTTCTTAATGGGGGAGTCACGGCGCGGGAGAGTGGGCGCCGTCAATTATCTCTGCGGCCGGACGATTCAGGTCATGATGGCATGCGGGCCGGATGCAGCCACACAGGCGGCATTTGCGGAACACGCATCAAACGAAGTGCATCATAGAAGGAGAGATGTGAGCATGACTGCCCAGTCTCTGAAGATGGGTAGACGAAGTAACGACTCAAAACGTCAGAGCTCTAATAAACCTCTCCTAGTGGGCGCCTCCCCTTCTTTTAACACATTATGTAATGCTTAAACCGCTTTTACAATGGATGAGAACTATTAGAAGAAGAAGATTGGCTCTCCGGAACAGGTTTATTTAACTGCTGACGTTTCGAAGCGAGCTACCATCTTAGGCCGGGGCAACACAAAAGCAGAACGGCTAACTCTTGAGGCGTGGTTCTCCGATGCCCACTCCATAAACAGGCATCTGGACCTTCCTGCAGCCTACAAAGTCCTACGTCATCACAATCGTAGAG